AGTAATCCACAAGAAAAGTTCGGTATGTAATGACAGCAGTGGGAGAAATTTAAGGTGGATCAACTTACTGAGAATGGAAGCTTTGAGTCAAAAGAAATCAGAAAACCAGATCAAAGAAAACTTTATTAGGTCTTTTCTTTCTATATACATGTATCAATAATTGACAACCAAGTAGCTCCTGTATTCTAGCAGAATGAGTATGTGAAAACATGTTTAATTTTTTAATTAAATAGTTCTGGTTTTGTCTGGCTTAGAAAAATCTGGCCATCCCAGCTATGAGCTCTCATGTATTACTTCTACTGCTCACTTGTGATACTGGTAATGATGCCTCTGATCAGCGGCCTGTGGATTCAAAGCATACTGGCTGTTTCTTGTTAGCAGTCTTTGGAGACACAGAGGAGCTGTTTACTGGTCTGTAAACAGAACGTTAGAGGCTAAGATCTTTGATCCAAGTCGCCTTCTTCTCTTGTAGTTTTATAAATATTTTCCAGGTTTTCACATGTTTTTTCTTGTTCAGAATTTATTGTGAAAAGCCTATTTTCCAGTAAATAACACTTTTGTTTTCATTGCTGTTTTAAAAATATATGGCATTTCCTAATCCTTCATTTTAATTTTCAAATTGTAAAAAAATGCCAGAAGATTTTATAATTATAGATACCTGAATCACTGCATAAGTTACCAATCACAAGGATATTGTTCTGTTTTTGATTTCAAAATAATCACTTGAGTAAGCCTTCTTTCATCTGGAACATGAGTCAGCATTTAGCAAAGCTAAGTTTAAACCACTACTGTAGATTCTAAATGACAGAAAATTTCTAAATAGGGCATTGTTGCTCATAGTTTTGGGTATCTTTGATTTACTTGGCTTTGTTAGACATTAGAAGCTTTATTTATATTTTTAACATTCCTTAAAATAAATCAAGGAACACTCCCACTCTGGATGTGGAGTAGTAAGAAATGAAGCACCAGCAAGTGTCTGGAGATTAGGCAAAGGGCTCTGTGCAGGATTGTACTCATTAATGCTTGCTTTGTTGCTCATTATAGAAACCACCTCTGGCTTAGAAGGGAAAGAGCGATTTGAGCATACTGGAAAACATATATGATTATCTCTTAGAATGCAAGTCAAGGTTAGTTAAAGTGGCTTACTTTTCACAGGAAGGCCCAGTTAGGGTCAGATCCTCACCTGTGGCCCATTCAAGGTTCAAGCAGTAGAACAATACAGTTTAGCTGTTTGCTTGTGAGCAACCACTCTGACAAAATGAAAATTCATGATCATTTACTTAGAGAAGCCTTAGAAATGATAGAACAAAAATAAAGTTCATCCAACAGCTACCAGATGATGATAAGATGATTAATCTAAGGTTAATTGGAGTTAGAAATTAGAAAATAGCATTCATGGAATAAAAAATGTTTACAGAAATCATATACTAGAAAATACATAGTAGAAAACTTTCCACGTATGAAGAAAGAACACAACACCGACGTCTGCGTGAGGCCAACAGAATACGAATTAACTACAATGACCCCCCCCCCCCAAAAAAAAAACCCGACAATTCCAAAACGAAGCTCTCCAGGGCACATCATAGTCAAAATCCCCAAAGTTCAACACAAGGTCAGAATCTTAAAAGCTTGAAGAAAAGAAAAAAAAAAATCACATATACATGAAAACCCATTAGGATTACAGTAGACTTTTCAACACAAACTTTAAAGACCTGGGGCAGAGCTTGGAGGGAAGTATTTCAAGACCTAAAAGAAAACAACTTCCAACCCAAAGTAATATATCCTGAAAAATGGTATTCCAAATTGATGGAGAAACAGGGACAGTCCAAGACAACATCTTAAGATACATCTGAACACCAAATCAGCACTTCAAAAAATACTCAAGAATATCCTAAAGTGAAACAATGTAGCCAACAAAGCAAAAAGTCAAATGGAATGAATATATCAAGCTAGGTGAATAGTTAAAAAGAGAAAAATAAAGGTGTCTACAACAGAAAAAGAACACAATGACAGGAATAATTCAGTACCTTTCAGTAATAACTCAATGCAAATGGCCTCAACTCCCCAGGTAAAAGATATCGATTGGCAGACTGGATCAAAAAACAGAGGTGGGGATGTAGCTCAGTGGTACCCTGCTTGCCTGGCAAGTGCAAGGTCCTTAGTTCCATCCCCAATACCTGGTGGTGGTGGTGGTGGGGGGAATCCAACAGGCTGTTGCACTCAAGAAACTCATCTAATAAAAAAAAAATACGTAGACTAAAAATCAAAGGACGGAAAACAGTATTGCATGCCAGTACCCCAAAAGCAAGCAGGGGTAGTAATGTTATTCTCAAAGTAAACTTCAAGCTAAAGCTGATCAAAAGAGGCAAAGATGATCACTATATATTGGGTGAAAACTTCAATAGGAACCGATAACAATTGCATATATACACACCAAATACCAGGGCACATAACTTCATAAAACAAACACTGCTGGACATAAGCAATGAAATAAACACCAATACAATCAGATAGTTTTTCATAGAGAGACTACTACATACCTACAGAGTACTAGAAAGAGGAGAACTACACGTTCAAAGCTCTGGGGTTGAATCCCAACTCCTCTCGGGAATCATGAGCAAGAAGACACCTAATCACCTCCATTAGTCAAGGTGAATATACCATCTCTTTTACAGGGTCATTGTAACTTAACAGGGTATTGAGATAATATGTGAAAATATTTGGCACACAGCACATACTCATTATGGGAGGAGAGAAACCTTTTCTATAAATGTAGAAGTACAGCCCTTCTCCTACTCAAACATGCTAACTATAATACAGTCACTGAGAGCAGAATCATAATTCAAAAATTCCTAACTGCTCTGCTACTTTTAGTCTTTCAAAACAGTGCCTTATTCACCCATACAAGAAGGTAGAAAATTCTATGGAAAAGGGGGCAAGGAAAATAAAAAACTAAGCAAATAAAATTTCAGATGCAAAACATTTGGCTATTTACCTTTTTGAGACATGTTGAAGGTGTGTGTGTGTTCACGTTTCAGGGACAAACTCTTACCTTTGTAGCAGCACAGTACTTGATGACCTAATTCTCCTAGTACTTTACCTGAGGTGGTCTATATCTTTTCAATTACCAGAGCAAAAATGGAATATGATTCTCAATATGGAAATCTACAACTTGAACATCACTGAAACTGATTAACTAATTCAGTTTAGAAGACTTAACGTACACAAATACTTAGAATTCTATGCTCCAATACTTCCCAGTTTTCCTTAAGAGATCTCTGAAAAAAGCATTCCAACAATCCAAAGTAGTATTGTGCCTGATGGATGTTCGACAAATACTTATAGATTGCTAGGTACTAATTTATCCCAAATAACTTGATAACAACTAGTTTATGTTAACAGCATAGTTGGGTCCAAACATGAAAAAAAAAAAGTGTCTTTGGGTTGTTAGAGAAAAAGGAAAGGTATAAAGTATTGTATTCTCTTATCATTCCCAATATCTCTGTATCCTAGTTTCTCTTATCTTAACTTCAGTGACCTTCTATGCTTCACATTCACTGTAGACATACCTGAATAACTTGTTAAAGCATTTTTTAATATTATAACAAAGAAAGTCAAGTGATTTTTAAATAATAGACTATGCCATTGTGTTAATCGCTTTTCTGAAACTAAATATTCTATTTTTACTATATTGTAATTGAAGTCAATGGTCTGCTTACTTTAGTTTTTATTTAAATCAATTTAATTTTATTTTAAGAGAAAACTGAGTAGCTATTAATATTGAAAGATTCTCAGTATATACTGCAAATACTTAAAAGATCATCACACAGGAATACAGACGTTTGAGAAAGTTTAAAAGTAAATTAAGAATCAGGGGAAAAAAGATTTTTAAAAAGAAAACAAATTAGTCAAAAAAGTTTTTTTGCAGCTCCTTTAATTACACTGAGAAGAAAAGTACAGAGGTCATGAAAGTAGAAGCATTTCAGGAAATAAGGCAAAATATTTGCATACATACATTCTATTGACATTTTAGTTTTGATGGTAAAAATTCTCAAGATTTTGCAATGAATCACTGCTTATGAACTAAGGACATTCTGAAGTACTGGGAGAAGTTTCATATATCCTACTTTATAACTTTACTCATATAAATGTTTGAGTTATATTTTCTTTCTAGAGATTAAGTTCACAGTTTAATTCATAAGAAAAATGACTTCATTGATTCACAGTGCTTCTGAAGAGCAGAAATAGAAAATAAGTATATACTGTATCAAATATACAGTTGTAGTGGTATATCAGATGTGGTACTGAGTTGTAGTGGTATATCAGATCAAAGTTGAATTAGTACTATAATAGTGTTTTTATTTGTATTGTTTCAGTAGACTAATGAAAACACATAGATACAAATGCAGAAAAAGGTTTAATAATGTCAGAATTCTCCACTACATTAGCATTTTATATTCAAGTTACATAAATAAGCAATGAAGCCTATGCTATTTCTATCCTTAAAATCAAATAATGCATAAAGATTTATTAATAATATTAATAATCATAAAGACATTTATTCTTTTTGGCAAGTACTGTATAACAGATCACCAGAGACCATAAAATTTACATAACTGACTTTTGATAGTGTGTATTTTTTATGGCTTTTAGGTCATATATTCTGTTGATGCTATGCTAGTATTAAAAGTAAATGCAAAGTAGAAAATAAAAGAAAATAAAATAGATCCATTAATAGCTCAAAATATTGTTTTGCCTTATCCTTAAACTGGAAACCAATTCTCTAAAGTCGGGGGGGGGCATCTTCATAGTTCACAGAGTGTATTTTAGAGGTCTAATGATTGATGCAGTGCCAGTGTAGGCCAGCTTGTCACGTTCTCTTTATTCAGTGTCAATTGGTTCCGTAGCTATCAAAGCACTTAGCTGTTTCTGTGCACAGGAAAGGAACAGCTCCAAACTGGACAGGCTTCTCTGTCTGATGACTTGATCAAGCTGTTGATGGGGGAAGCGGGGAGGGGGGTGGTGGTAGAGAAAAAGCAATGTAGTTGAAGTATAAAGAATATTGTCACTGAAACCTCCTAGAAAAACATTTTCAGATGAGATGATTCAATGTTTTCAGCTGAGTGACACTGGAATCCCTATTTCTTTTGGCCTAACATCTAAGATAAGCATTACAATTCTACAATTGATACTGGTATTCAGTTACTAGAGAAATACTGTATATTTGAGCAGAGTGCTTGTAGAAAATATTAAATGCTGGTTCTTATGAACATACAGACCAAATATCCATAAAGATCATATAAATTTCACAGATGCGTATAACAGAATTTATAGTACAGAAAAACAGCACAATTACATCATCACACGGTTTAGTAGAACATTTAGCCACTCATATCTCTCATAAATATGTGGATTTATCCAAAATTTGTTGTTGCTGTTGTTTTTGAAGCAATAAGGAAATTAAAAATAATCAATGGATAGCCTTCAGAAAACGTTGAAGGGTTTCTCTTATACAGATTCTGATAATGTGGAATTTCTATGGACCAAGATCTTACCCTGAACACTGTAACAGAAATTACCAAACTTCTTTCCAGAGTGAGCATACCAAGTATCAGTCCTAACTGCCATGTATGAAAAGGTCAGTTTTCTCCTTGTAAGCAGGTATACAGATTTCCATTGTGTTTTTACAATTTAATATGTGTAATCAATAAAGTATCTTAATATTTATTTAAAAAGCATTCAGTTTACAGACATTTAGATTATTCCTCATACTTTGCAATTATAATGCTTTAATGAACATCCTCAGCACATTCTTCTGTATTCATGTGTTAATTGCTTGAGCTAAAGAAGGTGCTAGCTGCCATGCTACTTCTAACCGGGATTCCAAATATGCAGAAGTCTGTCTTTGGGTTCCCTTTTCCCTTGGACAATTCACCAATCTCTACACTAATATAATGCTAGCTTAATTACTAGAGTATATAATAAATCTTAATATGTCACATACTCCCAGTGTACAGCATTTCAGAATAATATTCGTATGTGCTTGTAACAAAATTAATTTTTAGAAGGAAATTAGCAGACTAGAGACAGTGTTATACTATTTTTTTCATAAAACACACAAAAAACAAGCAATCCTCAGAAGTATGTTATTTTTAATTACATACATAGGCAAGAGGACCAAAAGCAGTTATATTTGGAGGGTGGAGTCAGGCAGGATGAGATGTGAAGATTCAGCGTGAAAGCAGTTTCATAGGTATTCTTATTACACTTCCTACTCTAAGTACATATAGCTTATGTGCTAGCATTAACAATTCAAAATCAGAATCCATCAAAACAATCAGGAGCACTGTTAAAAAAACATTTACTTCCTATCTTAGAATTGATGGGTATTAGAAGAAACTTTTCTGAGGGCGTGCAGCACAAATTCTCAGTGTATGACTAGCATTCAATCTGTGGCTGCTGCATACATCATCTGGATTCATGCACAGAATCAGAATTCTGCAATTTAAAAACAAGAGCGTGCATAAGGATAGAAAGTGCAATGGATTTCCATTTAATTAAAAGTGCTTCTCTCCTCTTGCTCATGCTAAAAGTCACCCTGGAATTATTTCCTATCTTCTACTACACCTTCCCAGAGCTCCCTGAAGGTGAGAATTCATCCAATTAACAGGAATGCAACAAGGCAATGCAGTACTCTATGAGGAGGAAGAAGGAAACTGGTGCAGTGCATCGCAGAGCTGACTCTGCAACTCAGCAGGTACTTTGTGGTATGGATAAGGGATCATGCTGTGAGAGGGAATACTGCCTGGCTCTTCTCTTACAGGGACTCTGAATTCCTCTTTCTGAAACAAGCACATCAATGTTCTTGGCTAATTCCTGAATTTCAACAGTTTCTGTTTTATTAGGAATGATTTCATTATCCTTTATTAAAGAAAGAATAATTTAGGTAAATATTCAACTTTTTTCCTCCTTGAAAATGGGGCCTAATTCTGTATTTGTGGCTTTTATCTTAAAGTGGATCAAACATCTGTCCTCTGTGACATGATGCTAACAAATGTTATGTCCAGAGTAGTGGTGGCAAATATTTGTGGGTATGGGGTTTAATATTTCTTTATAATAGGGGCTAGAGATTTAGCTCAGGCGTTCCGGCGCCTGCCTCGCAAGCACAAGGTCCCGAGTTCGATCCCCGGTACCAAAAAATATATAAATAAATATTTCTTCATAATAGTGTAGTTTAACTGCATCTTTTGTCCTCCTACTTTGTTGCTTCAACTTATAGATACTGGGAAAAAACCCAGGAAATTCTGAAGTTGCTGAAATAGATATTCAGACTTTATGAATCTCTTTTCCATCTTTATTATCTCTTCAGCTTGCTGGCTTACTGCTGAAAGCCATTTCAAAGCACACTACTTGTTCAAAGCTGTTAATTTTAATAACAAGCTTAGCAGGACAAGAGAATATCTGACTTCCCAATAATTTCATGTATTCAATTTACCTTTCCATTACTGTATCACACTATAGCAAAAGAAAAAGGAAAACAAGACATCTCCTGATTTTAGCTTTTTTTCGCCAGTCATCAAAATTCAACATGGAGGATGGTCAATTCTGGTTTATTTTAGTGAGGCTTTTCACTAAAACCAAGTTTACAAGCCCAAAATCTTGACACACTATTTTTGAAACACACACTGCATGGGCACGCATGCACGCACACACACGTATATACACACACACATAACATGCTTTGTACCAATTGTGCTTTCATTGGTATCTTTTGAGCTAATATCAAGAAATGTGAAAGTAGTGGGTTTACCTGAATCTATACTTAAAAATTATTTCAGTTTTCAAAAAAGCCAGGATAGATATCCGGCAAAGCCAATGATGGAAAGTGATTCATATACAAATGTTATCAGTTTAGTAATAACATGTTTTATAGATTGATGACTAAGAAGTTCTTTCATGGGCATTAAAGAACGGTCAAACATGATGATCTGGAACTGAAAGCAACACAGGCAGATTTTCCAGCTAACACCATTATCTTAGTTAAGAAGGATCATTTACCCTCAATGAGATATGAAGTAATTCTTCAGTTTTTTATTACTATGCTGTACTTTTAACCCTATTTGGATAGGAATGTCTCTTTCTCTGACTTTATATTACATTCCTCTTGTTAATCACAAATACACATATTTAAGCTACTATTCTATTTACACGTTTTGAAATTGAGAAGAATCAATTAACCAATTGGTCAATCAGTTCATCAGTAAAAAAGCCAAGACTGGCCACAATTTGCATATTCCTGCTCTGAGGCCTTGGCAGCAATGTCTATAACACTGTATCTGTCTTTAAGAGGTTTGTGATCTTGGAGAGACACATTTGCAACAAATAAAGGACAATTAGTGTCTAACTTATATAACAGACAGAATCTAAAGGAGCATCAGAGAGGGAGAAGTTATAGTGGGAAAGTGCAGCAGAGGAAATCAGCACTGGGACTTGAACAGGCTCTCAGATTTGAGACCCTTTCCTTAGATCAAGAAAAGCAAGATGTGGAAGATGTTTCAGGGAAAGATTACCAAAAACAGACATAGAGGTATTTAGAGGTACTAAAGAGTCTTGAATCTAGTGCCAAAACCTGATTACATAATTCTTTCATTTAACCACCTATATATCACTATACAGCATCACAGAATTCTCTGCTCTTATAGCATCTATATTTTAATTTGAGGAGACAAGTTAAACCTTCAAGTGAAGATCAACACTGTTAAACAACAAAGAGCTACAAGTGGAGGGGGATCTTTTGCTTAGGGTGACTAGGGAAGACCACTTGGAGAAGACAGATAAAAGCCTTGAAAGAAATTAAGAAAAGAGGCATACAAAAAATCAGGAAGGAAATCAAGGTAGATCAACTACAAGGGGAAAGTCCAAAAGTAATTCAGTCACGGTCTGAGGAAGAATGGGAAGAAAGTCAGTAACACTGGATGAAGCAAAATGAGCAAGGGAGAAGACTGGCAGGAGAGAGGATCAAAGAAACAGATCAAGGCCAGTTATGCTGTGCTCCCACTGGAGGAAGCTGTAGAGTTTTAAACAGGGGTGTGGTCATACTCATGCTGGAAAAATATCACACTTGTTACTCTGTGGACAACAGACAGTAAGGGCAAAGAGCATCAGCAGAAAACCCTGTTAGCAGACTTTTAGTACTGGAAAGGCATAGATTTGACCAGAACCTGCCGATGGAGGAGTAAAAGGAGGTCAGGTTCAGAGTATATTCTGAGATAAGTTCAACTTGAATTGCTGATGGATTGTAAGTGTAGATGAAAGGAAAAGTGAAATAAAAGGCAATTTTCATACTGATTGTGCCATTTCCTGACATGTGAAGGAACGGAGCAGGAGTGAGTTGGCCAGAGGAAAAATAGAGTTGTTTTTGGAGATGATAAATGTGTTTAATCTTACTGAACATGTTGGAGTTATCAGATCTGAGCCTGCAATTCAGGGGAGATCAGGATGAGGGTTATAAATTTGGAAATTGTCTGCACACAAAGACATTTAACACAGATGAAAATTTATACAAATCAATATAGACAGAAGAGAAAAAGTCAGCAAAGCAAGTCTCTGGACATTCTAACACATGACCTAGGAAAAGAGTAGTGGGACAAGAGGTTCAAGGAGCAACTACTGCAATAGGCTGAACCGTGCCCTCACAAAAGATATGTTTAAGTCCAGATTCCCACAGACAAGAATTTTAGTTCAACCTTAAATTGAACTAAATGTGGCTGTGACCTTATTTAAAAATGGGGTCTTTCCCAATTCAAAAACAGGCATCTGAAATGAACAGACATTTCTCAGACAAAGAATGAAAAGTAGCAAATAAATATATGAAAAAATGTTCAACATCACTGGTCATTCGAGAGGTGCAGATGAAAACAACACTGAGATTCCACCTCAACCCACAAAGAATGGTTGCTATCAAGAAATCAACCAATAACAAATCCTGGTGGGGGTGTGGAGAGAAAGGAACCCTTCTCCATTGTTGGTGGGAGTGCAGACTGGTGCAACCACTGTGGAAATC